GCCTCCAAACTCAGGGCCTCGCATGCATGCAATGCACAGAGAGAGTGCAGCCGTGGCCATCTTCATCTTGCGGGCCGTGTCCAGCTATCTAGATGACGAATCAGTGGGGAGGGGAGAAGGAGGCTGGAGGGACACCTGGATATGGTGGCAATATTGGGTTTGTCCCCCCCCCTCACCTGCATATGGGGGGACCCCTGGATACAAGCCTTTGGCTCTAGACTCCTTCTCTTCCTACCCTCCAACACACCCACTTCCCTGCCCTCCAGTGCCAGTTTGCGACCTTGATGAGTCAGCTGGCGTGTGTCTTTTTTGTGTGAGCTGCAGTGGGGCAAGGGTTCCATGCTCAGAGTCCCAGCACTGGGATCACAGGAGCTTGCAGCTGGATAACAATAATCCGGATGATGATGATGATGATGATGGTGATGATGAATAATCTGCATAACTCATGCCCTCCTCCTTGAAAAAAAAAAGCTACATCTAATGTGGCCATGCAGTGCAACATTTCTCTCTTGGGTTTTTCCCCTCAAAACTTTCCTCCTCATATCAAACCCCCTTTCCTCAGGATCTACACAAACCTTTCTCTCACCCTCCTTCCAGTTTCCTAAACTTCCTCCCAAGGATGATGGTCAGAATCATCACACAGGACTCCAGATTGAAACTGAGCTGTGTATCTTAGCAACAAGATGTATAGAAATGTTCAAGGTGTGGGGGTGAGGGAAAAGCCTAGATGCCAGCACTTGGAGAAGCGCGCTGAGACTGAAGGAAAAATGCCCTCATCCTTTCATCCTTTGGCATACAATCTTTGGGCAATTGCACCCAAAGAAACTCTGAAGCTCTGCCTACATGGTGGGCAGAAATTCAACAAATGACTCTCTTCTTGGGATGGGAGATGCAATGATGGAAAGCACTGAGTCCAAATTTGGGGTAAGGCAAGATTCAAAACTTCCTGAGGCAAAAGAGCTCTGGAAATTGTAAAGAAGTTTAGAGGAATGTGGATGATACTAAGAAAATATATTTGAGAGAAGAGCTTGCACCCACATCTCTGCTCATCTATTGTCTTAATCTGTTGAATTATTGCCTGTCAGGTAGATTCAGGGCACAGGAGCCCTAATGGGGTGGGGGAACTGATGTTAATACATCTCCACTAGAAATGTATATAGATTTTGTACTGGTGTAATTTTCATTGCTTCTGCCAAAGAATCTCAAAATGGTAATTTGATGAAGACTTCAAACATTCCCTGAAAACGACATTGGGAGAACAACCCTCCATTCCCTGGGTGAGGGTCTCAGAGATCATAGGATGGCTCAGTTCCTCTTCTGCAGGGTCTTTGACTGCTGAAGCTGGAAGCAGAAATCTGTTCCCTTTTCCTGCCTCTTGACCCTCATGTTGGTTGCTTCTGGGAGGGCAGAAAACTGACCTTGAAGGAGGAAAATGGGGCATTCTGGTGAGCAGAGAGGAGGGGGAGGCCAGGACACAATTCATCCTTTAGTTCCTTTTCTCCCACTCTGAAGCACCCCAAAAAGGGTTTGTGTGGAAATCAAAAATCTCAGGATGGGCAGGATTCCAGCTCAGCAGGGCATATCTCAGTGAGGATGCAGTCTATCAAACTGTGCCCTCAGTGACAGAAAACTGCATTTCTCAGAGTTCTCAGATCAGGGGAATTTGACTAAGGGTGCTGGGGAATACTGGAATCTGGGGAACATTTTTCTGTTCAGGCACAAAGACTGCATCCTAAACCTGCTTTTAGTTAGTGCAGGTACCCCAAGTACATTTGTGAAGTCCACACATTCTAAGGAATCCTTCTGCCTCTGAAGCAAACATCTCCACATCTGCCTGTCTCACTCCCTGTGCTCTGAGCCCTTAATGTTGTCAGAACACGCATGTTTACTGCGTATGCTTCAAAAAATTAAGAGGTTCTCAATTTATCACAAGACAGGAAGGATGGTAGCAGCAAAACCTGCAGCAAACTCCTTATCACACTCATCAGATCCATCTGGGCCCTTAAAATTTTGCTCTATTTTATTCCTCCATCATTTGGGTGCATTTATGTAAACTGGGGAGGCAAGGCCAATAATGATTTTAGGGGAGGGGGGTTGTTCTAATGTTGTGATCTCAACTGGCTTACTTAGTGCAAAGTGTTAATGTTATGTGGATATTCCTGAAACACCTCCCCCCGCAGCCCAGCAGCCCACCCACAGCACCAAGCCATTTAGAGTAATTCTAAAGTGTGCCATCTTCTTGGATGTATACTTGCAATATAAAGGCAGCAATGAAAAAGGCAGATTCTAGAGGAAATATATTTATGGTGGCAGGTGTTCATAAAAACAAAATTTCCCTGCCTCCTTCAGCATTTACCACATGGGTGCATTGCCACCATAAGGTAATGTTTTATGGGGATGCTTTATTGAAATAACCTGCCCCTAATATATTTCACATGTTGTGCAGTAAAGCTATACAACAAAGGGGATAATTGCCACACTTTGGATTCAGATCACACTCTAGAGGAGCCTTTCTCAACCTGATGCCCCTCTAATGTGTCACACGACACCTCCTGCCATCCCGAGCCAGCATGGTCACCATGGGAACTGTGGTCCAATGCATCAGGAGGGCACCTACTTGGGGAAGGTGCAGTAGAGCATTCCAAACACATCCCATTATGCTGCTTCAGTCAGCAGCATTGTTATACCCATGTAGCAGACTGCAGTGCTGAGTCTGATGGACCACAGTGTCAGTAAGCCAGTTCCTAAGTCTCAGTGATCCAGTCTGTGGCATGGGAATCATAGCATCAGGGAAGAAATGAGATTTGAACCAGAGGCTCCTCAGCAGAGATGCATGAGAGACCTGTTTTGTTTTGTTTCGTTTTGTTTTGGGGAGTGGGGGGACTTGTTGGATTCCCTGGGCTTGGCTCCCTGGACTCTGGTCCACTCTGATGTGGCTGAGCATCCAAGATCCCTCTTCCACACCCCGTGCACATGATGTGGAAGGGAGTTGCTGGTTGCACAGCCTTTGCTCTGTGAGCATTCACGGATTTCTTTTCAGCTCAGCTCACTTTCCAGGACATGGCTGAGTACAAGAGAAAGTCCACAACTAGAAGGACAGATTCTGTCAAGCTTCAGTGCATCCCTACTCCTCAGTATGTAACTCCAGTTGTAATCCAATACACAACATCCCTGGGAATACTGGGAGTAAGTAGGATGCACTTTGAATACACATGCCCAGGGTTCTGCTGAACTCCTCAGGGCTAGAAGCTGCACTAGTATTCTCCTAATCATTGTCTTCACTTCCTTTCAGATCTTCTCTGGTACTTGTCCTTAATTATCACCATCCCTATTTCGTAGAGCTTATGAGGATGCTTTTTAAAACTAAGGATTCACTTTGGCAGAAGTTCATATGTTTCCAATACTAAGTTCATTCTTTTTGCATTCCACACTGCATTGCATTTTTTATTTAGTCTGCCCAAATTTATATGGCACAAATACGTTTCAAATTGTGCTTGTGTGCTTTTTATTTCTTTTGGAAATTTACACATTCCCCCACCCATTGAATAAAGCATTTCAGTGTATGTTTTTGAAAGGCACACATATTTCTATGCACTTCTTGAAATATACACTTTTTATCTCCCCTCTCTGTGTGTGCGCGTGCGTGTGTGCACACACATGTGAACTGCTTCTCAGACTTTAGAAATGTACAAATTTCAGCCCCAAATTGTATTTTGGTTCATATTGTGGTTTAGTAATTGCAAATAGGGAAAATTTTCATTAACATGTAACATGTAAATGGCATGTACTTTTCATGTCTTTCCAAATTGTCTTGTTAATGTGAGCACATGTGCAGAGGTTTGATCCTCTCTCCAGCTGTGTAACCAGTTGGCCATATAGAAGTAATTAAACATTGTTAAACATGTTTTAGGTCATTTTGCAGTTATTCCCTAAAAAGCACAATCAGAGTCATCATGTGAATAACAATCAATTAAAGTATTTTATGTGCAAAGGAAACCACTGCAATAAAGTTGGTAATGCTTCCCGCTTCAGAAGCCCAGTGCACACCAAGTTGTTATAGGAAAATGATACAGGCTGTGGTCAGCTTGGGCTTTGCTAGAACCTAAAAGATTCGGAGGCCAAGTCCACTGAATGTAAACCAGCATATGATGATAGATCTCAGCATATGCAAATGAGGAGATACTTACTAGAATGTATTAAAATTTCACAGGAGGTAAAGCCATCCAACCACTTTCTCATCCAAATAATCGCAAATAAAATGCATTCTTCAATTGATTTGCACGAGGGTTCAGATCATCCGAAACCAGTGGAATTTCCAGATCATCTGAAACCAGTGGAATTTCCCCAACTGAAAGTTAATTGTCATCCAGGGGAAGATGGGGAGAGGATATTGCAGCATGTGGGAAAGAGAGACTTAACCCTTCCCTTTTCAGCTGCAATCCCCTTGAAAATTGCCCTCTGACATGTTGATTAAGATGAGAGCAGAGGACCTCCTGTTGGCAGCCATGAGGCTCAGGACTTGCTACAGGGCCCTGGCCCTGAGAAATGGATTCAAAGCTGGGAGGTGCAATAAGCCCAGCCTAACATCACCCCAGTCCTTTAGCAATGTGTCATAATACAGAAGTGGGGTATGGTCAGTTGCCAGTGACTCTTGGTGTGAGAACAGAGTTGTAATCAATAAGCAAAGTCCCTGTTTCCATCTCTATCCTTAGATAAAGTCAAGTAACGCTCATGCCTACCAAGAAAAGACACTTCTTCCAAGCCAGTTCCCAGAAGTCTTTGTTCTACCCAGAAATCACTGCTCTGGGGTTGCAAATAGAAATGGCTATTGCAACTTTTTATGGTTCAAAAGTGCTTCTTGGTTTGTCCACGTTCCTCTTGCGCTCCATTTCTCCATCTTTCAGGAAAGTAGTGTGCCTTGAATTAAGAATGATCCCACAGCTGCTTTGCATGAGTCTCAGCCAGCATAATCCAGAAACAGGGAAGTCCCTTCCTAGTCACTATAAGTAGCTGATGTTCACAGTGTTGGGTTTCTCACAGCTAACATTCTCCTCAGGAAGCTGTTTCTGTCCACTGCCTCCTCCTGACTCACTGATTGGAACACACTCCTGCATGCCATTGCCATTTTGGGCAATCTTGCTGACCTCACTTGCTTCAATCTTGTCTTCTCCCTCCTCCTCCTCTTCTTCATCCTCCTCCTCTTCTATCTTATCTCCCGTAGATGCAGCTGCTGCTATGTCTTGATTCTGCACTCGGCGGGAGGGTCTCAGGATGGCCCTACGGAAACCTTGCTTGAAGCGGTAGGAGAGGAAGCCATAGATGATGGGATTGGCACAGCTGTTGGCATAGGGCAGGACCACCACCAGGAAGTAGATACCAAAAAGTGATGGCTCATCAGGCAGAGTACAGGTGACATTGATGATGTTGAGCACATAGAAGGGCAGCCAGCAGAGTACAAAGACCGCCACCACAGCAACCACCATGCGGGTGACCCTACGCTCAGAGTGCTTGCGCTTGGCTGTCAGTGCCCGTACTTTTCTGCCTGTTGACCGAATCTTGACAACAATAAGCAGGTAGCACAGGCAGATGACCAGCAATGGTCCAAAGAAGCCAAGGGCAGCTGTGTAGACAATGAAGCCAGCTTTCCACACTGACGCAGGCTCAGGCCACTTAATGTGGCAGGTGTTCATGCCCTCAGGGACCTCGGAAAACACCACCACTGGCAACACCACCACAGAAGAGATCACCCACACAGTGGCACTGACAGCCTTGGCCACTCGTGCTGTCCGCCATTTTGATGATTTCCCAGGGTGCACCACAGCCAAATAGCGGTCAACGCTCATCACCGTCAGGCAGAAAATACTAGTGAACTGATTTATGGCATCCACAGCCATCACTAGCCGGCACATGAATGAACCAAAAGGCCAGTAGGACAAGGCATTTTGTGCAGCCAGGAAGGGCAGACCAAGCATGAAGAGTTCATCTGCCAAGGCCAAGTTGAAGATGTAGACATTGGTGACTGATTCACTCACGGAATGGCACAAAACCACATAGATGACCAGGGAGTTTCCAGCTAGTCCCACCACACAGACAATCAGGTAAACCAGAGGAATGAGGACGCCACTGACATCCAGGCCAAGGCTGGTAACTAGGGATACGTTCCCAGGAACAAAGACTTTACTGGCTGTTGAATTCTCTTCCCAAGAAGCCAGAACGGATAAGTTGAAACTGTCCATGGCAGAACTGGGGGTGAGTATCCTACTGGATCAGTTCGGAGGGGTCTGTAGTTGAGAACAGAAAAAGAAATCTTATAATTCACCTTCTACTCCACAGCTGAGCAAGCTAAAGGCAGAGCTAGAGAAAGTAATAAGAAACAGGGAGAAGAGATTGGAATTTTAGGGCCTGGTTACTATCTAGCTTTTGCTGGGAATCCATTTTAACAAAGTACTGAAAGTTGGCGGGCTATAGGCCCATTGGCATCCTGCCAAATCTGACTGTTACCATTCTGAGCCCCTCTGTTGCTTGTAAGGTTGGAAGTAAGGATGGCAGAATTGCCCCAGTGCTACTGGTGGGCCAATGCCTATTTTCCTGTGCTGACATGGCCCAGGCTTAGAAGCAGCAGCGACTCCTTCAGAGAAGACAGAGGGCAATGAGGACATGGAAGCGGAAGCAGGCAAAAGTGCTCAGAAAAGTGGAGGAAGCCTTTGCCTTCACTACATCACAGGGGAGTAGGTAGTTGTGAGTAGTGAGGCTGGGTCATTGGGCTGCTAAGGAAAAAGGGAGCATTTTGAAAACCGAAGAATTGATCAGAAGACTATGCAGTCACTGGGCAGTAAGCAAGTGTGTCATTCTGACACTGTACCAGCAGAACTAAGATTCCACACTATGTTCACTAGGAGAATCTAACTAAGTTACACTTGTGCAAATACAATGGTGCCAATGGTTGTACAAGTGGTTCTGCAAGCAGTTGTGCAACAGACAGATTTGGTGAGTGCTACAAGTGCTAATTGAGTGTGCAGAATGACATCACTGGATACTGCCCAATGGGAGCTTCCAGACAAGGTTTTTACGGCACCATCGCCTTCCCTCAGACATGGACCTGTAGTGGGGTCCAGATGATGACAAGTCTTCAACTTGTAGCCTTCCCATGTTTTCCACTAGTTCTTCCATCCTTTCTCAGTTGAGAAAGAAATGACCGAATAGCTGCATGCCTTCTCACGGGTAGTGCCAGGGGCATCTATCTGGGAGCACCCAATCGCCTCCATACTGATTTGCAAACAGTGCCCGGGCAGCAATAGCTGATGGAAGGGGATCTAGCCACACCTCATTAAAACAGCAATCTTCAGTTGCCAGCTTTTCTTACTGCAACTGCAAACCAGGCCCAGAAGCAAGTATCTCACAAGAGTCTTCAGGGGAGGGCTGGAAGAAGAGTCTCTGAGCAGAGCAAGCCCATTAGTTGGCCATGCATGCATTGTTACCATATTCTCAGAGAACAATCTATTGCTAAGTCGTTTAGCCTGTAGCCTTGAGCCAGTTACTATGACACCCTAACTCAAGGCTGGATTAATCATTATGCTTAGTTACGTCACAGAAAAACACTCCCCCCCCCCTCCATTAAACAAAGGACTTGGTTGTGCTGTAATCATTCAAGACCCATCTATAAAGTGACTATCTCACACTCTTCCCCAGGCCTTATTTAAAACCTTTGTCAAATTCTGAATATGATACCTCTTCCTCCTTTTATATTTTTATTTCTTGTATTTTAATTTTATGTTGTGAGCCGCCCCAAGCCTTCGGCGAATGGGGAGGCATAGAAATGTTTTAATAAATAAATAAATAAATAAATAAATAAAACAGCTGTGTGTTTCCTACTGAGATGATGGGACACTTCTGTATTCCTCTTGGCAAACACTGAAGGAACATGATGATGTTAGGTGGTTGGATGAATAGGAAAAAGGAAAAATAGTCCCTTCTCTCTCTATATAAACAGGATTGCATTTGAAAGGGATGAAAGTTAGTTGTAGTCCAGTCTATTGTTGGACTAATACATTTAATGGGGTTATTCCAGGGATAGGATTTTAATGTGAACCCGCTTAATTTGCACTTCACAAATCGAAGTACAGGTGCCTTTTAGTATTCATACTTCTCTGTATTTTGTGATGTAATCCTCCAATTTAGAGGAAAAAGTAGACAGAACTACACATATTAAGGTAAAATGCACACAAAATGTGTACACTTATAAAAGTTACCTAAAGGGTGAATTAGATTAGGGAATATCTAAAACTGTGTCTTTCTATAACATCAAAAATGTATATAGGAGATATGTACACAAAAATGCATACAGATTTATCTACAGAAAAAACAACAGCAACAAACACAAATGTGGGCATAGGATGGAATGACTTTAAGACTGGAGAAACTGAAATCAACAGATTTATCAGTCTTAAGCTTCTTCCCAAGTAAGTAAATTTGCACATGATTGCAGAGTTAGGGTACAATCCTATAAATGTTTGGAGAGAAAAAGTCCTATTTCCCATTCGGCTTGCTGGCTTTTTTCTTTTTGAATATGTATAGCATTGTTCCCTTTATGACTAAATATGTTTTCATGTGTTGAATGTTTCCTTTCCTTCTGGTTGCATCCCACTCTATAATTCCAAATTGCTTAGGATTTCTTAACTATGCTCCTGGTAGGAGCAGCTATTACCTTTCCAGGTAGCACAACCAAAATAGAATTCAAGCCTTGCTAATCTCCAGTGCCCAGTTGCTGATTGACATTTCAGGCTTTTGCTGGAAATGGTGCTCACACATTCAGAACCTAGCCTGAAAAATACAGAAAGATTCTGAGGGACTGAAGGCCACACAACTGTCAGCTTGGGGACGGAGATGCAACCTCTACTCTCCTGCCACTGTACTGGGTTTGGAGATCAAGGTGACTGATGTGTGGACTCAACACAGAATGAACCTGTGGGACTCAGCCACTGTGTTGATTTCAGTTATAAGGGATCGGAAAACATCCTGGCAGACTGGGCAGTGCAGGACAGTGATCTCAGTGGTTAGAAATATGCTTTGCATGCGGAAGGGTTTGAGGCAGCAAAAAGCTGAGAAAGATCTTGGCCTGGAGAAGTAGAGGAGTTGTTGATAGTCCTGGGATAGAAGTGCCCATAATCTAAGTATCCACTGCCACAGATTTTTCAAATGGCCACTTGCTTAGTTGGTCTTGAATGGGGATTACTCTAATTCATAAAGGGCAGGATTACCAAGAGCTATAGGTCATAGAAAATAAGAAAAAACTCCATGTGCAGGGGCAGTACACCTGTAAATACAAGATGTGGGAGACAAATGGCGCAGGGAGTCTGTTGCCAACATAGCCTCCTTGCAGACTTCCTGGCCATGTGGGGAGCTGAGTCTGGCCATGTGGGGAGCTGAGTGTGAAATGAGATTCACCACCCTTGGTCTGATCCAGCTGGGCTTTTCTTATATGAAACAACTTGCAGCGATTCCCATCAGCTATAACCAGCGTAGTCAATGCTGAGGAACCAACATCTGGAGGGCCACAAGTTGCTCATCCTTGGGGCAAGGATTGTATTGTTCTCCATGACCTACATAGTGACTGTTACATAGTATGCAAAGCACTTTCCAAATGCCAGGGATGGCACTGACTTCCCAAAGAAGTAGAATTCAGTAGAGGGCAGTTTAGTGGTGGGATCTTAAGTGCAGTGCCTTTGCTTGTCTCCATGGCAGAGAAGGGCAGTCCGCAAAGTCACGAGGGCTATTGATCACCTCCAGCATGGCAGACAGCAACCCTCTGAATAGGGTGGGGTGATAAATGTTTTAAATGGATTACCTGATCTGTAATTCCTGGAACATAGAAATGGATGCAGCTTGGAGTCAGCAGCTATAAAGATAGGCTTGGATCTATATTTAGGTGTGTATGACTAAGTTGATGGAAGCGAGTGGAGCTTAATTCATTGAAGGTATTCACTGAAGGCCCAGTTTTCATGGATTTCCACTTTCCCACCCCAGCCCAGCCCACAGTTCATGCCATATCGCATCCCATTCACTGGGGTCCCCAGCCCCTGATTAGAGTTTTCAGGAGGCTGGAGAGAGAGTTGTGGAGAGGAAAAGCTGTGGAAGTTCACTTTCCCCAGTTTCCCCTATGTGCCTAAGTTTGGATTCAACCCACTGATCTCAGCTGTGAGTTCAAGGCTGCTGGAGTGACAGGAGACCTTCCTCAAGCATCCTGTTAAAAGTCATGAATAGCATTCCGTAAATTCATCAGTTCCTTTAAAAACATTCTGTTTGCACCTTTGGCCATCCCCAGGGCATGCCATTCTTGTGTTCCTAATGGCATTCTCTGCCTTCAGTGCTGCAGTTCTGCCTGAAACATAGTTCTTCTCTATGGCAATATTGTTTAATTATAATTATTAAGGTGGAAATGCTACAAGTCCAGGCACCACATCCTTTTGAGAGACAAAGCAGGAAGAAATTAGATCATGTGAAAATCATGCTGAGAATCAAGAAATGCGATATTTCTTGGGGCCAGAGATCGTTCATTATTCAGACCTTGAGCATTTAAGTCCCCTAATGATTTGAATTTGTTCCATGGCACTCAAATATTCCTGTGTCAATATCACCCTGCATTAAAAGCGCTCCCATTGCTTCTAGATGTCTAATTGTATTTCCCAGGTCATTTGAAGAAATGATTGCGATACAAAGTGAAATCACTAATCATTCAGTAAAGACCCATCATTTGAATCTCTTCATATTAGATTGAGCAAACTCAGAAATCATTCTGTTTGATGAAAGGGATGACTAATTAGCTGTTGCCCGCATCTGATCCCAGTTATTGTTACTTCTGTTTCTCACTATTTTAAGAACATGGTGGGGGGAGCCCCTCCATCCCACCATCATCAGAGACATGTTTGGTGGGAATGCAAGAGGGTCTTCTCAGGGGCTGTCCCCACTTTAACACTCACTGCTAAGTGAGGCCAGATCAGGTCCTTCTATCCTCCTGCCTGCAGGCAGGCATTTTTATTTATGTAGGACTCTAATATATAAGCCAGCATGTTTGGCTGGGTGCTATTTTTATTCATTATTATGTTTTAAAGGTATTTGCATTATGACCAATTTAATTTTTTAAACTATTGCTTTTATTGATGTAAGCTAACTTGAGTGCTATCTCCTGGTAGAAAGGTGGGGTACAAATTAAATGGATTGTGATTGTGATTATCTTTCT